GCCGAAAATCGAAACGTGGTTCTCGTTCCTTTCTCTCACCGTTCTTACTATGGGGACTTATTGTTCAGGAGGGACATATATGGCCCTTCATGGAAGTTCGCCTACTTTCCTGCCGGACGTACAGCCATCATTCGTACACACACGCACAGAGATACACAGCCGACATAGAGAAACCATACTGCGACGAATTACACTTTTCGGCCCATTTTAGCGATCGACCAAGAGCAGGCGCCGCCAGCAACAGTAGCGGCGGAACGATGTCGGTTCGCTTGATAGTGACGTACGCGAGGCTACCTCCGTGTACGCCATTATGGACTATAGTGCCTGCCAGTAGTCATTCAGCAAGCGGGAACAACCAAACAGCACATTGAGATATCGTCCACCTCAGGGAGTTGTTATGGGAAGTGCAAAAACGAGGGAGCCAGTTAAACAGCGAGGAAAATGTCTCCCTCAACATATCGTGTAACGAGATCGTCCTCCCCTACGCGTATTGATACAGACCGTAGATGAAATTCCCATACGGACGACAAGCCGGACGAAACACGTTCACAAGGACAACATCAAAAAAACCAACCTTCCAGTAGTTAAACGGCGAACTAACCTGCACTGCGGAACAGGCAGCGCTACCAGCAGAGAAAAAGAATTACGTCTCGTCCCTCTGTTTGTCGCGAGTGGCCTTCGAAAATGTTATGAAAACCGAATGTGACGAAATGAGTGAATCGAGGAAACTTCAGAACGGCTTTGAAGGTACAGAATCTATAAATTTTATGGATCAATCAAACGGCATAATGAAGTAACAATTTCAGACACCTAAATATTATCATTTCCACTTTACGACCGCACAGTGCCAAACAGACCTTACGACTTGAAAGTTCTTCTGCATTCGTGCGTTCTGTTCTTTTGTTCCTACTGCATGCAAAGTATCATCAGATACTAGCCGAACTTAATGTCCAAACAGCTGCGGAATACCCCGGAACGCGCATTATCGTATCTTAAATCTAAATTTTCACTATCTATTGGAGTACCAATGAGATACAACGAATCAAACATCAAGCAGGACTGTTCATCCTTACACATACATTACTTATAGTATTTTTGCAATGTTAATAATACCCATAGAAAAGCTCGTTCGAAAACATCAGTCTAATAAGACCAAAATCAGGGTTCATCGCTGATCTTACTTTACGACAAAGTAACAGGATGGATCGAGCCAACATTATGATTTACGAGAGTTTTTGCAACTTCAGTGTTAAACAAGTCTAATTTTTGTTAACAGACTAAATACCATTGGTAGAATTCTCGCTTTTTATTGTTATTGTCGTAGCTGGCTATCGGTAAATTTACGGCAGGCTTCGAAAACTAGTAGAAGGCAAGCACAGGGATCTTGGAGGTCTCGGTTCGAATCGGAGTGTAAACACATTTCGTTTCGTGCTGGGACCTAGCCGTTTTATGGAATTCAAATGGTGATATTGATTATAAAACTCGGGACAGAGGGGCCTTAAGCTCATATACAGATTGAACACAGTAACACAGGGAAAACCTCGTTACGGCTACGGTTCATTTCAATATTTGTATGTAAGTCAAGCAATAATAATATAAAAATGCCCTAAAGGTTAATACAGAAGAAAATAAAGGCCGACTGCAGCATTTGTATTCGTTAACAGACATTCCCTTCAGACAACGATAAAATTGCTTTATGCCACTGCTATTGCGCCCTGTACGCATACAGCCCCTTTGTGTTATGCCACCAAAAATGTTCCATGACAAATAATAAAAATGAGATATTTTTAAAGGATTGGTAACTTTATTAAATACACAAATAGGAAGAGTAAGCTTATCTCATTAGTAAGATAATTTTTACGATACTTGATGTACTCGTCTTAACAGAACTTTCTAAGCTAAAAAGGCAACTTTGGAAAAAATGCACGTATCGATAAAGTCGAGTAAAAATTCCAAAGGACAAGGCCTCTGAAACTCACTTAGATACAATAATTACTATTGATATATAAAAACTTGCTACCATACAGAAGGAAAATTATTGGCACCAAGATCATATCGGAATAAGAAAACTCGATTTCTTTTTAGTCAAGTTTAAGTGTCTAAGGACCTCATTAGGAATTACTTTGTTTTAGTTAACGTTATTTAACTGCAAGATAACGAGTGTTCGAGTTTTCTACGCCGAGTGTACAGCGCATAAGTAAGATAATCTCCCCCAGCCATTTCGGACGTACCGTGATTCTCTTTACCAAAACGTATCATAATACATTCATCAACAACTGAACGCATTCTGTCGAAAAATTTCCAAGGTGTCAGTATTGCGCCCAATGCAATGTGCGCAGTTCAGAGGCAGAAAAACTCGCCGCGACCTCTTTTGAGCTGACGCCCTCACCCATCCGCCCTCACGTCTCGTTTGGGTATTTGGTTCGAGGCTGTGCTCCTGTGCTTTGAGAGAGTGCCGAGTTTCTTTTACGACTCTTGCTCAGAGTCTCGCTGCCAGTTCAGCAGGCAAGCAGGCTTCAGTCTGCTGCAAGAGAGCAGGCCACTGCCTGCTCTCAGATCTGCCGCGGCTCCGTAGCTCACGGAGGGCCTCTCTTCGTCTCAACAACGGTAGCAGTGCACGGCACAGCCGTCGCATGCAAAAAATGCTGCTTGTACCCAGCCAGATCCCAAGTGCTCCGACCCTCACTCGCTGTTATCCCGACAAAGCTACTAGGTAGTTCTTCCTACTCACTGTGAGCACTAGCGGGCGCCCACCGGCACCGGCCCCCCCATGCGCACTGTTTGAATTTTGGCGCCAATATTGACGGGGCGGAGCCATCGGGCGCACGTGGCTGCGACCCGCCCGAGCTATTGGCCACAGTCGAGTGTGGCTGTGGGCGCTAAAGCACGCCACAGCGCCATAGGTGCTGTTACGGGGTAGGCTGAAGAAGGGGCAATGAGTCTGCAGGGAGTCGGCGGCGCTGGATCGAGGATATGGGGGGATATCGCGGTTGGCGCGGAGACGAATACGTTTCATCTATGACTGCTGCTTAACATATTTAGGATAGAGAGAGGCAGCAGGGGCGAGGCTATCCTGCTCGAGGAGGGCCAACGCCGGCGCGGCAGCAAATGCGGTCGCCGTCGTCAGCGCAACAGCAGCCAGACTTGTCGGTAAAGCGAGCAAATGGTCGTTGAAAGAAAGGACGGATGTACTATTATATAGTCGAGCGTCGATTGGTGCGACACGATAACTGGCAGACATGCTAGCTTTCAATATCGCTGCTGTCGCAAAACGAAAAATGATCATGGGAAAGTATCGTTTTCTTGAACCGGGAACAAGCACGACAGTAAAGGCGTTATCAATTAAGAAAATTAATCTCATTAGATATCTTTTTCTGGAACTAGGCACATGCTAATTGAATCTAACGCACACCGAGCATTAGATAGTCGACAGTCTTAACATTACATTATATATTTGTGTGTCTGTGCGTGTGTGTGTTTGTGACGTTTAGAGTATGCGTCTGGGTCTAGCTATCCGGGTTAGCGCCTTCTTAGTCTACTGTAACCTAACTCGTCTCGTTTTCTTTTCTGGCTTTTCCGTTTTCCTCTTTGAACCCGGGAGCGATCGTATGCCTAGCGTCGTTGGACAAGCCTGTTGAAACTAAAGATTTTAGACAGACAGCTATTGTAGATTCTAGCGAACCGAAAGATTCTTCTATTCGCTTCTCAGCAACCTCTGACTGTTTTCTTCCGTCTGCCTTCAGCATTGGCCTTCCTTGGCACCCTCATGTCTACTCCTTCTCGTATGATGCCGGATCAAAACTTCATTAATCTTCTTTTTCGCCGAGGTGCACGTGTCCTTGGCACTGTGTCGACAGTTCTGCCCTCTGTCTTACTTTCTCTCTACTCTAAACAAGCTAAGTAACAAGCAGCACGTTGGCCCAACTACCCCCTGCTTCAATGTGCCCCAACCAGGCGCGGCGGCTTTCCGCCGGCTCCGCCGACGGAGACGACAAGGCTCTCTGAAATAGCACCATCACGACCTTACTGTCGTCCAGCAGGATTCTGCAGATTTCGGACACGCACCCGACATTTAGGCGAACATTTAGGGCTGCCCGCCGACCCCGAATTTAAACGACACATCGGGTTGCACGATGGCCTCGTTCATTGACGCCTTCGAATGAAGTAGTTCTTCTTTCACTAACCGACAGCTGCGTCGTCTGGAGCAGGACAATAGCAGCAAGAGCTGAATATACGTACAGTAGCAATGAAATAAGTATCAGTGGCATTAGCGTGGTGCAACTACGTAGGCAAGAACAACGATAACAACGAAGCGACGATGTTAACAGCATCTACATCAACAACAACAATAACATGAGCTCACGGCGCCAATGCCGCAACAGATCAGGCCGGTTGCTGATCTCACTTCGCACGCTGCGGCAGTGAAATGTGCTCGGTTGTACGGTCCGGTGGTAATGATTGCGTTGTTGCTGCTGCTGCTTCTACTGCCACCGCCTGCTTGTACTTGCGGTGCTTTCCGCTTGCCGACTTGGTGCACTGTGTGCGAGGAAACTTCGCTCCTGTGCAAGTCAGAGCCCGCGGTGCAGCAGAAAGAGCGCTTTCACATAGAGAGCTCACGGCAAGACATGGACCGCGCACACACAACGCCACTATACCGCCACGCAGGATATCTGGCCGGCTGGTAGTGGGAGTTGCGAGAGAAACAGAGAGAGAGAGAGAGAGAGGGAGAGAGAGAGAGAGGGAGAGGGGGAGAGGCCGCGGGAACACATGAGAACGGTGGTATACACAGAGGGAACCAACAAGACGGCTAAAGCCGCCGAGCGAGAGTGGAGGAGAGATCGCAGGATGGGGGGAGTCTAATTGGTGACGTCATGAGCGAGGCTCCGCCCCTGCGCCTCAGGAGGATGGCCCTGGTCGTCTAAGGTTCAGGAGCCGCCGACGACCAGGAACGAGAGCGCTCATTCGGGCCCGCGCCACTGACCGGAGAGAACGCCGTCTGATCGGATCTTGCAAAGCCTACAGCGAAAGCGCAAGTCGAAAACGACGACAGCACAACGAGTTAGTCAATGCGTAGTAATATCGTATACTCTAGCAAAACAGTTGCATCCGTTGTATAGAGCCCACCGCCCACAAGCTTTAGCAGTGAGTGTATGCAACAGATTTGGTCGACGGCAGCATCGACAACCGCCGAAAAGTGACAGCCAGTGAGACAAGGACGACCCAGAGCGCTCTGGCAAACGCCCTCGACGGTGCATGTGTATGGGAAACAGCGCGTGTGACGGACGCTTCGACGGACGAATAAATTTTTGCTAACAGTTGCATGGAGTCATCGCCGATGTGACACGTACCGGTGAACAGGTGGTGAAGCTGCAAGACACCTATTAGTTGTTATTAGCATTATTGTCAGTGTAGTTATAGTATTAGTGAAAAAAGATTCATCGGTGAAATATCAGTGGACAAAACAAAGTACGAATAGTGCTACAAAGATAGTGATCGGTGAGGTTCTGTGTGTTGGGGGGGGGTCAAGAGGACAGACAATCCAGCAAGCTGAGACAGGTACGTAATAGCACTATGGAATGTAACCTGTAACACATGTCAGTGTGGGTGGGTGTGTGTGTGTGTGTGGTAAAGGGCAAACCAGGAAATACAAGTGTCAACACTCCCTTGTGATAACCTAACTGTACGATGTAAACTAACAATGAACAAAACCCAACGGCACCGTAAAGAGACACGGCACCCGAAAGCAGAGACCCTTCGTGAGACGCATACAGGCATAGTTATTTTCGCATTTATGTGCTATAGGCATATATTTTAAGGTCGTATTGATATATTGCTACTGACGACCCTCTCCGACCCCCCGAACGTGACTCCCCCTAATTTATGCAGGAGTTGTGCACTTGCAAATGTTGTTTTGAATATTTCTTGTTTTCAATTATGAATACTGGTTAAAAATACAGTCAGCATTTCTCTCCTACTGATGGTACCCGCTCTCCATAACCAGATCATTAATAACGATGAACTCAGTCAGCGTTATACAAAAGATTTGCTCACTTGTTAGTATCTAGCTGATAGTACCTGTGTTAGTATCCACATCAGCTCCCTCCGAGTATCAAATCTAATGTCTAACGCACCAAGCTTGATGGCCGGGGGAGTCAAGATAGTTGCTCCGGGGCCCTCCTCCGAGCATTATGCAGACCCGGCCCCTTGGCAATATCCGCGCGGAGGACGGGCCACCACCGTATGGCCGTCCGCGTTTGCCCCCGCGGGTGTGTTTTGCTCAACATCTGAAATCCAGCGGACGTCCACTCCGACCGGTAACATCCGAAACCATCACAAAACCGACGGCCAAAAATCGCACGGCAGCTGGCGCATCAAGAGAACATTGATACTACTTTGTCTTGAGAATACGGTACGTCATCGCAGGATAAAGCACAGGATATACTGATATCTGAACTATTCCCGTGAAAATAAAGAAAGACAGCAAATTCCTTAAGACCAACGATTGCATCGCGAGCGCATTTTGCTCGAAAGCAATTTTGCAAGGACAAGTCGAAAATGAATTGGACCACTTCAGTAGATTCACGATTTTTTCTACGAGACTACATGTTACTGCGGCTGCAGTGCACCAAGAAGAAGTCCTTAATATGTACTTTCTGTGGGTAAGAGCTTCAGTGGTAACAGTTGCCGGCCTTGACAAGGTTATGCAGGCAGGTATAGCAGGGAAATCCTTGTCTATATGATTTTTGGACAGATAACTGCTCGTGAAGTGCTGCTCCAAATCAATGCGAGCGAATAGACTCCGAAACCGTCTTGAACGGTATCGGCCAGTGTACCAGCAATCCAATATACCCGTACTGCTACCACCGACGTAAGCTTGCGGAGGTGAACACCTGACAGGCTCGAGCCCGAAGTGGGCGTGAGTGCATGACGAGCACCATCAAAGGGCATCGAGTAAAGTGGGTTCATTGTGAAAATTTACGCGAATATATATATATATTATATATATATATTATATATATATATATATATAATATATATATATATATATATATAGAGTAGCGCTGCTACCATTTCGAGTTAGATTCGCTGTAGACAGTGGCCACTGAAGGAAGACACGGATTAGCCATGTACCCTCGAGTTTGACGTACGGACATAAATCTAGCAGCAGTGGCAGACCATGATCCTGTATACGACGATGTACAGCAAAGAAACAAGCCCTCACTGCAGTATCATGCGTTAAATAGAATGCTGTACCAAAAATGGTACCATGGATAAACTAAAGTAACATTAACTCCTATATGAAGAGACTCTTCTTGTTTATTTTCTTACTATTTCAAAGTGATCTTCTAAATCGAATGGTTCAAGGTGTTAGTAATCGTTCAGTCGATATCTCGAACAGTTCAGTCGAACCTTTCAGTGTCTAAATTGTTGCTTCCTATTAGCTAGAGGACCACCAGTCTATGGGTTTGCTAAATCCAAAAACAATCATTAAAAATATAATAATTAAAAACACATCAAAAAAAAGGTACCACCTGTACTATACGCAAACTTTACCGTGAGACTTTCTTTAGAAAAAAAAACCAACAGCCGATTTCGTTGAAACAGCTGTAAATATTATACGGTGAAATTTTCCCTCTAACTAGAAAGCCAAACTCTAGTTAGATAACAGCAGTTTATTGTACAAACATGCATTTCCTAAGGAAGCTTTAATTTTATTTAAACAAAAGATTATGTGACAACATCACTGATGATCGTTGTTCAAGTCTCAAAGGTAATGAACAATTAAAAAAAAAAACAACACTGGTAATGGTGTTTTTTTTTCTTTCATAGAAACAGCTTTAGCTAACGCCAAGTGAGAAAGAGGTCAGCGAGGGGAAAAAACTTCTGAGAAGTTTACTAGTGCCATAATGAATTGAGTTGAATGCATGGAAGCCTTCGTTAAATTGTTATCTAACAGATTACATTAAATGTAGTGAATTTAAAGTTGCGTCATTAAACATTAATTACCGCTATGTGCGGAACGAATTAGCTATGCAAAAGGCGGGGCGTTGGTCGTCACACACATTTGTCACCAATCAAACAGTGCTTGACTATTCATAATTTTACCTAATAAAACATACTTCATAAGCGGAATAACATTAAGCCAATGAGCGTCTTATGGAAGCAGCATATACAAAAACAACACACAGAGAGAAAATACAGAAAGATTGACATATCACTTTTACAGCCCTAATACTTTCTAACACCCGGTTAAAAATTTGAAAAATCAAATATAATGACTACGTAGCCAATATTGTGTTACTTTTTTGATGCCCTCAAACTCGAACCTGGTCCGTTCGCCGTTTTCCGCTGCCTCGCATCAATTCTGCCTCCCGTGTGTCGCATTGATGAGGCGGTCCATTAATCATTTCACGCAGCGAGTTCTCCTTCGCGCCGGGCAACGACGGGGAAAGACAAGGGAGGGAACAGAGGGGAACTGAAGGGGGTGCTTAGATTCTGGGGTCTTTAGGTGCTCGTGGTGTTTAGGTTTTTCGCTTCCGCTGTAGGTAATAGTGGAAGCAGGGCGGACTGTGAACGGTCGAGCGCGGTCGGCCACCACCCACACACAACTACTGAACCCATCCACCTTGAACTCCGGTTTCCGCCACCTATCAATTCGCTCGTTCATATATCAATTAGTGGACCCCAGCCTGGTGTCGGTGTACAAAAGTGTGTCTATGTGTGTTATAGAACCCAAAGGATAAGCAATTCTTGCACACGGGAAACGCAGCATTAGACACCGTACCAACGCGGATTTTACCGCGTTGGCACGGTGTCTAATGATGAGCTCGACAAATCCAGTTAAAAAAACGCAGCGCGAAACACTTTCGAACTCTTTCTCTTTATCACCAACAATCTTTTGTAACCTATTATCAAAGGACATTATGTGTACGTTCGAGTGTATTTTCTTTATGTACAAACAAGCTGTCTTTTGGCCGTGTACTGTCCTCTTGCGTGCCCAAGCAGACGGTAGTGTTTTATATGATAACTTTATAGTAGCGGAATGCGGCTACGCTAAAGGGGAAGGGCTTTACCGCAGAACCACTCAGCGTCAATAGCAGTACGATAGCTAGGGAGAGCCTTGTGCTACTTTTGTGCTCTTCTTTGAGTCGCCGGACACTACCGCCTAACCTAGTATAGCCTAAGACAAGAGAACCAGCAGCGTAGTCGTCACGGGGCCACTCAAGATTTTATGACCATTTTATGACTGTTATATGACCAATTATACGATGGCCAGGGAGAACGATGGTGACCCAAGTCGCACCGGTAGTGTAGCTCCCGCCCACAAGACTTACACTTGATAGATGTACTCAGGGAGCGAGAAAAACACAGATCATTGGGAGAGATTAAAAGTAGAGAGAGAAACAAGCAGGCAGTATCGAATGTGGGTGGGATCTGATGCTATGTTTCGTTAGATGCAGCAGGCCAAAAGCGGTGACAATACACGTTCGTCGAAAATGAGACATGTGAGAAAATCCACTTAAGGTATACAGATCACGTGGTTAATAGGACCAGTAGGACGTATAAACGGGACGACTCAAAATGACAACTAATTTATAGAACGAAGTCTATGCAAGAGCCACTATTGTAATGAAAAGCATATATAGCATAGCATCGATAGCTTTTTTAATCGATAATCAAACGTGTTAGCTAATTAAGTAGGATTGGACCTGTGGAGTGCTTTTCACGGATCTTTGACGTGATTCGTGTGCAATAGCCAGGGACGTCATATGATGTAGTTGGTGTGCTAGCCTTTCCGGAATATATCTTAGTACAAGGACTCTGTGTCATCGCGCTCTCCCTAATATAAGTTATCATAAATTTAATATCTATGTCTCGTTAACCGTTTGATGGGCTATCGCAGATCACTCGACTGGCATTGTTAAGTGTGAAGACTTGTTTTAGATAATACAATCACAATATCACCAACATTGTTAGAAGAGGTCTTACTTACCAATTCAGTTAAGAGGACAAACTCAAAAAGTTAAACTTCCAGCAGTAAATTTCTATATTGCCACGCATGTCACACAGCGATTTTGGTTCAGGCATAACAAACTGAGTAGAAAGACTAAGGATCGTTGACTTCTGATTAGTTAGATTAGTTCCTGGTTCAAGTCGAGCACACGCATCTGTACAATTGTTAAGCATCAAACAAGCTGATGCCGGAAAACAGACATGCGGCAGTTAAGAAGCAGCTAGCATCTGCGACGAATAAGGCGCGGTCAGGAAGGCACTCTAGCATTCTGTAGTGCAATATGCACGGTACTGCCGAAGGCACGATCCTTTCCCGCTAATGGTAAGCTTGCTTGCATGTTATCCAGGCAGGTTGAAATAGTTACATATACGACCAGGGGGTTGCACGGCAGACGCTGCTAGAAGGGCGCTTCTTCGTTGTTGGCACACAGTCACATTTAAAACGTAACGTCTAAATTTGCAGCCGGTTCACTTGCCCGGTGTGAGCCACCGCTGGCGCGCGGTATATGGACAAAGCGAGAACGCATTTGTTTTAGTTAGTTGAGGCTGCAGTGACGACGAAGGTACGTTACGCGATGGGGTTTGGGGGTCTGGCGCTGTCGGGATCATCCCTATACGACTACCGCTACTACTGACAGAAGCCACCACTGCGGTAACTCCTTGCGGGACCCTACACTCGCTTGCAGCCCCAGGTTGTACACGAATACTGGGGGCTGAAAGGGAAACTACGAGCGAAAGGCATTCGCGAGGTGCAGTGCTCTTCCTGTATTCTATGCCCCTTGCCCCTCTCACTATGTTGGTGGTCCCACAACAAGTATACGTTTATTCGTCAGCACACAGCCAACCGCCGACAGGCGAGTTTTATTGAGCACACAGTTTCGTCGAGCAGTGCTAAGCGTAGGCAGTCCAAATCGCATGCATCCAACCGCTATACATTTGCTAGGCAGCATCCACCTAGCAGAATCAGCAGTAGCCTAACTTAACCCTCCTAACAGTAGGCCCCCGCTTCTCGCTGGCCGTTCCCACATCCCCGCCGCTCTACCGGGGGCAGAGAGTATATTCGTTCTTCTCTGTGTGTCCGCGCGGCGTGCCCTCGCTCCCATAGCCGATTTCTCTCCTGGTGGGTGGCTAGCGTCCATCTGTCCACTGCTCTGCTCTCCGCTAACTCAGATGCGCGGATATCCGAATCCCGGACTACTACCACTGGCCACTACCTAGTCGTGGTTCGAAGAAAGACGGCGACAGCAGCTGTCCATTTTAAACTCAAATCTACCTCTTGTCCGGTTTCTCTTGCAAGGCTCTTCCGACCTCTTTCCTTCTTCCCTCTCAGCCCTGTGTACCGCATCGCTGCGCTACAACGCGCGAACCCCTAATCAGATCACCATATCATTCACCCCTCCGAGCCGATTACTACCCCACCCACATGAAGACCCACAGAATGATGTACATACAGAGGCAGAAAATAGGGGGCAGCAGTAGCGGCTTCGCCACGGGCGGGAGGTAGTAATACTGAAAAAAAAATTGTACCACTAGCACCGGCGCCCACATTACTAGCTGCTAGACAGCAGAAAATAGTCGTCTTCTGCCTGAAGACAAAATTTACATTTACAGGTTAGTGTGTATTAAGGTGTATGTATACATTTCCCCTACCTTCCACATTACTTTATTCTCACGGAACTGCTGCAATATCGATATATATCTAGGTAATAGGAAAAATCGCTTACTGGCCGCTGACAATGATGAGTAAAAGGAGGAAGTTTCGAACTAGTCAGCTGTTGTTTCGCTATAAGAAAAACACGTTTGTACCATGCATGCTGCTGTGGTAGAACTGCTGTTTCCTTTTTAGCGCTACCTCATGTTCAAATTTCATGCTCAAATTCTGGTGCCGTACGCTGCTAGCTTACTTCCGCCCCGTGGCCGTGTTCTCTTCCCTCAACGACGCTGTTTCTTGTTTTCGCCTGTCGACTGTTCGTGCGTAATTATTCAATAAACAGCAGTAGCTTTCATACTCCTTTTGCATTTCTGTACAATCCCAATTCCAACCCATTTAAAGGCGCCACTAAGATAGACCGGACGGCGTAGAATATGGAGGGAATGTTGGCCATTTTAAAAGTAGGTCTTTACTATTCTACAGCATGCGACTACCACCTCGCTGTCAATAGAACCTAGTCAAAGCTAGCTAGTTCCGGTCTGTCCCCAGACTGGCCTTAACAGCCAACAGATCCTTTTTACCTCGTGGGAGTTACATTGCAAACGGAGAATAGGTTCTGGAAAAGCTGGTAGGTTAGGGTTAGACAGTGAGTGGCTGTGATAGAGAGATAGAGAGAGATGAAAGAATAGTTTAGGAATGAACGAAGAAGCTGTCGAGGCCAAGCGAAGAGCTGACGGTAGAATGACGCTGGTCTTGGGTTGGTGGGCAGCAGCTGGCCCGCGGTCATTCAGATGGTATGCCCCATATCCCGTACCTTCGTTGCCTCCTTTTCCATCAGTCTGGGTGGCCACAGGCACCTCCAACAGTCGAGAGTACACCCCTTTTTCCCCTTTTGCCATCGCTACTGGCCGCAAATCCAGCCGGCTAGCCACTGCAGACGCCACACCACCCTGTTCCTGCCAAACCGCACCGAACACGAGGCCGCCCCGGAAGCCCATCTAACCGCTGAACCGCAGCAATTTCCCCAGTCACCCTCTTTCTATCCAAATGTAATCCTTAAGCGAGCCATGCATTGCAAAAAGCATTGTCTCAAGAAGACAACAGCCCATATGCGGTGTACCTATAGCGGTCTTGGCAGACCGTCTTATTCGGTATAGAATTAATGAAGTGAATCGATGTTACACTTGAACGGGAAGTAGTATAAAATGAAACTTTTTCAGTTCTTCGTGACATTACATTGATATGCATTTGTACTCACAATATACTTGTTATTTTTCCATGCACTCCATTACCGCTGGTAGCCTCAACTTAGAAGGATGCCGCTCGTCACATGAGTTCCTTTAAACACTTCTGGCCTAATCAATTATCATTGGGCATGCGTGTGCATGTCCCTGGATCACTATATCCCGGTGATATTTCCTGGTTAAGGCCAGCGGTATTAGCTCCTCTACCACGTCAGAAAATCGGTAGAACAGGTAAAACGCCAATTTTTTTTTTAAATCTATCGAGTAATTATAAATTGCATATCTGTTAGCTTCGTTCGCGCTGGGTTTTATATCACACTTGCTGGTTGAAAGCAAAACAACAAAGGAAAATTATGTGCCGCCAGTTTAAGATGAAGACAATCGTACTGAACACATGCAACGTGTATAATCTGCCCTAATTTCGCGATCAACATCCAGTCTCTGCAAGCTCGTCATTCGAACTACGAGGCGCAAACAAATGTCTTGTCATGCATACGATTCAACATTGTACTACGACGATAGGTCGTCGAAGCCTCTCAAGGGACAGGCTGAAACCGGCTAGCATGCTGTGGCTGGTAAAGACAACTACTTGAATGACCGATGTCCCCTCCGACCGCCCTGGATCTTAGTAACCCTCCAAAGGGTTTGGAATTGGGACTATAAAAAATCAAAAAAAAGGTATGAAGACTGCCGCTGCTCCTTGAATAATTACACACGAACGGTCGACAGGCAAAAACTAAACGCTACGGGGAATCGCTTGTTGAAACGCGGCTATGCGCAACAATGAAAATCAACATCCCGTGAAACTGCCATTAACCTCTCACTACCTCAAATTCCATTAGGTAACCGCCCACTTTCAACATCCGCGGATCGAAATACGATGATCCTAGCCAGTCTTCTTTTCGCAATGGTGTAGTCTTTCTTTTTTTTTTGGGTTAGTTCTCTCGACGAGGTAATCGATACGACTGAGATTCGCGACTATAGTTTCCGCTAAGCTCACAGGTGCTTGGGTATTGCTGATGGGAAGCGGGAACAAGCAGGATTTGTTCTCGTACTTTGGCGGTTTCCCTCCAGCCTTTCAACAGCCAGGAGCAAAAGCCACTCAGGAATTCACAGTGACTGTCTTAAAAGAGCTACGCAGATACCTTCAACTCTCCGGATTTGCCTGCGGCCGCCAATTTAAAGACGCCCCTCCTGTTTTTCCACGAACTACAGTGCGGACCTGCCGCCTGTGGTTCGGGCCCGGTCTGATACAGCGGCCTATAGCTTTCTCGCTACTTCCCTCCCGTCTTTGATAGTTGTTACCGTAGAGTACAGACTACTGGATACTCAACCTCCGCCCCCTCTGATATCTGTGCCGAAGAAGGAGCCTACACACCTACGACATCGTAGGAAGCCGATTTGCGAGACTTCTTCTGAACCTTTGCTTTACTTTAGATTTTGTTTCGACCAACAAGATGCCTTCACATGAGAACATAGGTTTATTCTGATTCGACCATTAAAGACAGCCTCATCGTCGTAGCAGAGCATCGGTGCTTCTTCGGCACCGAACAATGAACCACCTTAGCAGGCGCATAGTAGTTAAAACAGCTGGTGAGTTACCTTTTCTCTGCCTGTTGATGGCCGCCATTCCTGTGATGAGTACAGCAAAGAATCAACTACCGAGCCAGCGAACCACCCAACCGATCGGCCGACAGACATATGATGAAATGAGCATCTGCCGAACGAGGCCGGCAGCTTTGATACTCCTGTAGCCCGCAAAGCCTGAGATGGGGAAGATGGCGTTCCAAGGATCGGTTCTACGAAAATCCAACTGGTGGCCGATTTAAAAAACGATGCTCATCCGCTAGAAGGGCTATCGGGCCCGTGGTATTGCCACCGATCGTGCTACTCCCTCAAGCGCTTTCTTGCTTTTCTTCTGCATCACATTTCTACATGTTTCTCCAAGCGATTGCACGCAGGCAAGACACTCGCTTTAGTCGATTTTCTGATCCACTCGACGAGGCGCGTTGGTGAGCAAAGGCTTTTTTCAGGCTGTCAGGAGGGCAGCGCGACGACGCAACACTTTCTAAATCTCCACTCGACCCCAACGAGAAGAACCCTGTAAGCACAATCATAGCGTTCAGTATTCAAACCCGCCATTCCCTTGGTCGCGTTTGGGCAAAGAGACGCTACTAAGAAGGTTTAATTCGTCGAGGTCTAACTGTTCCTCCTTTTTCTAAACGTACACACTTCTAGATTTAGCGCATAGATTCTTTTCGGGCATCATGTGCACCCGGGTTCTGGATCGACCCTGGCGGGCACGTATTCTTTCAATGGCAATCTTTGTCTGCTTGCTTGCTCGCAAATGTCGACTTCACTTTTAGAGGATACTTGCTTTGGTGATGCATGAGGCTGGCCTGCTTATACGTCTACTAACAACCTTCGACACATTTATGCAATGACGACATACATTCGTACGAAGCGTACTTTAAAATTAAAAGCTCTTTATTAATTCTTCATTTCTGCCACCTGTGAATAAGATACGTGCACATACGACCACAAGTATTCGCATCAAGTGCCTATATTGGAAACATTTAACTTTAATTCTCTCACTGTATAAAGTACAAATGGCACAAAATAGTGCTAGAGGCTATATAAGCATTGCTGTGTGATCAAGCAATAATATATAAAACATTTCTGTGAAGTAAACATGCTCACATACAATAGTTGAAGTGTTTTCGTAGTTAGGGTGGAGATTTGGTTCGTTGTCATCATTAAATTATTATGTAATGTACGTGGATTTCCTGCTTGTTACCGGTCGCCATTGCTGTTGTCGTCGTGCTCGCTCAACATTGCTTTGGTACTGCTGGCGCTGGTGGTCCTCGCAACGACATCATCGGTCATCACACACAAGCGACGGCGGCAGCAACAGCAGCAGCGGTGCGCGAATATCGACCGTCATCACCACTGACAGAGCGCGCGAGAGAAAGAGCATCACCATCGAAGCGCGACCCGAGATCGACACTGGCCTGCTTGCCTGCCTCACCAGTATCCTCTGAACGCTCGACCGGTCTGGTCGCTATTGCACGGACCGACCAACCGACTCGCTGCTGTTTCCCGTCCCTCCATTTGCCCCTGCCTGATCCCAGGTTTCCTTCACCCTCTTAGTGTCGTCCTGGTTAAGGGCGGCTAACGCTGGTCGCTGTAAGCCCTAGTTTACTCCAGGCACACTTTGCCATCAGCCAGTCATCGTAGTCTTCTCCCTTCTTCCCAGAGGAGTTACCAGGAGCAGCCTGAGAGGCGAGGCGAGGCCAGTGGCAGCAACTAGACGAAGTAGCAGCAGCAGCAACCTCCCTAGTGATTCCTTCGACTCGCTTGCTCACTCACCCCGAGACACAAAGAGGCCGATATTCTCCTTGTTCTATCCCGGAAACAGCAGCAGCTCGAAGGGGAACCTGGGCCAGCCGAGGGAGGGAGGGAGGGAGGGAAAGGGGAGCGACGACGGGACGATGGGGTGTGCAGTAGTCTGAGGCAGTCAGTAGTGCCTGCCCAGAGGGGCCTCTCTCCGGTCGGGGCATGGGAAGTCGGTCTCGACCAGGGGGTATGAGCGTGGGTGACTCACCAGCAAAGAAGAACGGGGGTGGGGTAAGGAGGCTGATGGGGTATATCTCTCTAATAGTTAACGAAGCGCTTTAAATTCTATTGCAATTTTACAACGAACTCTTCTGAAACGCTGCAATGCTGGGAACCCCGCTTCGCCTTCAGCTGCCGGCTTCTCCGCTTGCAGTAAGCTGCTGTTGGATGGAGGAAAATAGTGCAGGAGACGGACGGCGAGTCCTGCTTATACAGACAGTGGCAACAGCAGAGCATGAGGTAAAGAGAAGCATACATCAGTCTTTCTTCCTTCGTCGATCGCTTCGTCGGTAAGGTTGCAGCACGAGCCTGGCTGCTGCTTTAGGAGGGCAACCACCAGCTCTACCGCCAATGCAAAGGAAGATGGTCGGTTCATTCTCCCACTCCTCTTCGCATGTTTCAGCGTCGACGCTTTCTGTTCGCTTGTGGACCACTCGCTGGTCCGTGCTTGCGGTCACTGTCTCCGACGATGCCGCGTTCCCCGGGGGATATAGCTTGCGGGGGCGGATGTTACTGAGCCGTTTGCTGTTGTGGGCCAGCTAAGGTGGTAAAGAGATGGCATGGAAAAACACAGGCCGGCGAGTTTAAGGCAAAGCTAGTTACAAACAGAGAGTGGGTAGAAGAGAAGTTGAGCGCGGACCGCATCGCAGTACCATCATGATTATCATCATTATCATCATCAAAGCAACCAAGAACTAGCACAAGGGTTTCAATTTACAACTTACCCTAGTTAGGGAGTGGGCAGGCAGAATAACCGTTTGGTAAGAAGGCAGTCTCCAAGGCAGGAGTTTTAGCAGGGCTGTTCAATGGTCAGAGCTGCTGCTGCTGCTGCTGCTACCTGAAAGTAAGAGGCATTTCGATTTGCAGTGCAATCTTATTACTAGGATACTAAAAAGCCTTCGCGATATAGTTAATTTCGATTTAATGCATAAATTATCAGACAACCCAGCTATCGCTTATCTAGATCAATCAGCTATGTTGGATCCATTGTTGGTATAATAAGCAATATCCAAATACATTTGTGTAATCGGCATTTTGAATGAAACATTCAACAGTGTATCGTCGCTAATCGAACTCTTCACTCATATAGTAGGTCTATGTAAAGAAATCGTCTCAACAGCTTCTTCTTTATTAACTTCAACTTTATTCAAATAGAGGCTATATGTAAGCGGTGAAGTAACAAAAAAACGGGTGTACGCGCTTGATCGCAATCGTCGCGTAAATAACTAACGAAAGGACAAAACAAAAATCAATCTTGTCTAGGATTACACTTGGATTGGTTTAAAGCTGTAACTGATTATGATTCTACTATAGATTGATTTCACTTACCAGAAAAATTTACCTGAACATGGCATGCAGAGTAACACCTACTGCCTTTCTCCTTGTGTTGGCAATAACAGACCTCCAATTTGTAGTTGTTGCTCCCTAAGCCGAAAAGAGTGAACACTTGATCCACCTTCTAAGTTCTGCTGATATTACGTCTCTGGGGCAGCACGTGCGCATGCGTAGGGCCCTGTTGTTAAGAAAACTACCCGGAATAGAACGCTAGTGTTATCACCATCATCATGCCGGATGTCCCTCTGCATCGATGGTCAGCACACACCCTCCGAGATTGGAGATGGCAGCAGGAAGGGAAGATGGGAGCGTTCGTGAAGGTGGTAGCGTTTCGACAGCGTAAGGCGTGCGCGCATCGTAGTAGCATTTGCGTTAAGCTTCAGTCCTCTCAGTCCGTGAATCGTCTTTGTTTGGGCGTGGCCGCCCGGTGCCGTCCCACTACTTGCAAAGTCTCTTCATTCTTCCGTTTCCTGTTTGCTCTTCTCTTAGGCCCTCTCGATCTCAAACGCAAATACCGCAGCGTAAGGGATTGACGTCTGAAAGAAGGACAAGTGCGGCACAGCATTGGTATGCGGTAGTCCTCTTGGCCAGCCTTACGTCAGCCAGTTGCCCCGATTTCGGAGCGAGCAGAATTTAGAAAAGTCTACGATTAGTGGCGGACTGCGGCCTATTCCTGCGCTTGCGACTTGACGGGAGAAACACTGCTTGACTATGAACTTGCTTGGCCTTTTTCATCTTACAAAATGTGAAGTATTAACTGAAACAGTCTCGTAACTAATCGCAACGCTTTTTGTCTCTACAGGCATTCATATGATCAGGATTTGCTCATTAGTACGTCTCTACCCTTACTGTTTATTCCCGTGTCCGACACGCTTACTTTTCTCTCTCTCAAACGTACACATATCGATGACGAAGCGTTTTGCCAACGTTTCTAACAAACAACCACTGAAACCCATTATGACCGAGTGGCACAAAAAAACGATAGAGAATTTTCCAGCAGCCAACGAGGATGAAAAGGATCCGTGCTTCGTCACTTCGTTCAATTGATAGCAAGGAGCTGACTACAGCGAACAGTTATATCGTTGTATCAGCAGAAATGTAGCAGCACCATGTCAAAACTTGCATATAGGTAAATAAAAGATCATCAGTTAGCTCACAAACGGCTTATGATGGCAATCTTCAAAAACGTCTTAAGTTCACAAATTTGTTTCTTGTCATATTCGAACCAAAGTGGTCGACAGCGGGGGGCGGAGTGTTGGCACATCCCCTCATAGAGGATCAATGCGCTTTTGGCAGAGCAAAGGGTTTCTTTAGGATCAAGAGTTGATGCGGCAGAAAGACAAGCTTCTGACCTATGTACTCTAAAGCAGGACAAAAGGTGACCGCTTCAGAATCGCACTACCTTTTCTCGTCGGTTAGTAAAGGACATCAAGTGGTCACGGTTGGCCTACCATCCCCATAGTTGCGAAGTTCCTCCGACGTTTGTTGCGTTGTCCACTACCTTCGGCCGGCCAATATCAGCGTCCCCGCCTCATGCTTCGTTTTTCTAAATCGAACGACAAAGGTCAAGCCTCATTTCACGTCAATTCGAGTCACACGAAAAAATAATATAACAGCGCAAAGGGACTATCACAAACGAAGCTACTGCCATGCGGAGAGCGACAGTTGACAAGCCACAATAAGTAGCTGAGCATCCGTACACATAGGGGTGTACTGAAGCCGTCGAGTCTCCCGACGAGAATGCTACCAGGACAAATGAAGCTCATTAAGAGACCCCACATAAGCAACAACACTCATAGCATCAGCGATAGAAGCAGCAGCAAACGGACGGAGATTTCATTCTCGGTCATCCGATCTACTTGGCGTTTTTCTCCTGCCTTCTGCAAATCCTTTGAGTGACTTTGTGTGACCTAATAATAGAAGCAAAGGAGGAAAGGCCCAGTTTTGCTGACGAAAAGGTAAAGCAATTACCCTAAAATCAGAATTTTTGACAATACCATGTAAGTTCGATGCTGTTGTGGTATCAATTCGAATGGTGGCCGTTTGAAGGACACCAGTAAATCGCAAACGGATTGTGTATGCCGGAGCAACCAGATATCACTGTTATTGCGGTTGTTATTGTTTTCGTTGTTATTAGGACAAAACGAATGAACGAAAACGATACCCGCCTCGCGTTGCATTGGCTTCTCGGGTGCCACGGCTTTGTTCCCGGCAAGCCGACGTGCCAGCGAGAACTATCTGAATTCGCATTGTTGGCTCAATGTCTTCGGATCTTAAAGGAAGATGAGGATACTGTTGCCGGAGACCTGAACCAGAGACTGGGTCAGGCCGGTCAGAGAAGCGATGGAGTGAGACTTGCTTGCACAGAACGAGCCGAGAGAGGGCGCGTGGAGGCAAATGAAGAATCAGCTCAATGGTGTGTGACAGAGTAACTCATTATGGCGCTTTGCACACGACATAGACGTCTGGTAAGCACCCAAAAGAACGGTCGCTGATGCGTTTGCCAGGCCTGGAGAGGGTCCTCGAAAGAGATGGCTGGCCATGTCCTGCCGATCCGTTGGTAGTCTCCTGAGCTAAAGTGACAGGATATCGCGCCATGGTGGACGAGTCGTGCTGTTGGATCCCTTGGGACGAGCTTCAGGCCAGGGCAATACGGGACAAACACGCTGTTCAATGATGCTGCCGCAGGATAGAACGGCGTTGTTGGAGCGCGAACGATAGCTAGCCGATCAGTAACAATAGGCCGCCGTATTTACCCTGATCGTGCTTGACTAAACATGTCCTGTATCTGCTTGTGTTATGTCATCTATTGTGGTAGAGAGAACAACACGTAAACGAATATATTACGTATTAAACAGCATAGCAAAAATCACAAAGGATAGTAGTTAACTTATTAGAATTAATAAACGCACGTATTCATGTAAATGGTCTGCGATTATGATTCTCGCTTTCAAAAGGTCAAAGATTTCTATTCACTGAAAAAGGGACTGGCATTGTGCGTTCTGCCAGGTTATTGTATACCAGGAATTAGCAAGATGTCACCATGAAGTAGTTGTACACTGTCCGCTCCGTGTGTGTACGTATATGCTGATTTGTTTGTTTCCATTCGGCCAAATTCTTTTTTTAAATGTGTAAATCGTAAACAATTTCTGTTTGTATGCACTTGCTGCGTACGTTGCTCTCTTTGCTTCCATAGACATAGTATGAAATGCAGATATATCCACATTCACTTCCAACTATATGGGAATTCGCCTCACATGGGAAACCACCCCTCTACGATCTCATCCTGCCCTTCATCCGGTGAAATCAACAAATGGGAGGAACACGTGGCTATAGTCGGCTCTGGTTCACGATGTAGGTGGCAAAGTGAAACCGTACTCCTCGAGGATGGGCGCTTGGACCGTATGCCCATAGGCCAAATAAGGAGGACTACGGCCGCTCAAGCAGTCGGCAGGCAATCGCTGTTAGCCTGCTAGGCGGTCGAGCCTAAGAGATGGGCCTATGGCGCCCTATTCTACCCGGGATTGGTTTGCTTGCTTTAGGGTTTCAGGGATAGTCGACAGCACCGTCCGACTCTTGTAAAGCCGCCTCTTTACTAGTTCCAAGCCCTGCCTGGCCCCAAACCCCACCCGGTCTACTATGGAAGTCGGTCAAATTTCTGAGGTGTCGGCTGTCGCCCTATTACCAGCCGCGCCGAGAGCCAACGCTATGCGGACTGCGTTGGAGGCGCATTGCCATAGTTTGTATTAGACGCATCCGCTATACCATCATCAGCGTGTCGATAGGGACTCAGGCTCCCGTCCCTTCGATGGTATTAGACTAACGGTAGCGGTCTCGTTTAGTTGTGGCTCGCTCCAGGGGCCTCTCCTGACTTGTTGTAGCGGACAGGCGTAAATCGACTCTAGGCTTCAGACTAGCGGGCGGTGATACATAGTGACGGGCGCAAAAGCAGACAAGCAGGGAAAGCGTCAAGCAGAAAAGGACCCGCAGCATGGTCCGTCTGGCCAGCTAGTAGCGGCCAACACAACGAAAAGATACTTGGTACTAATTCTTCCATTCGTCCTTTTTTTACTCACATGTTCTCTTGCCCAACCTTTTTGTTCGTTTCGTTTAGATATCGTCGTCTAGATTGCCTGAGCAAGCAGGCCAGCTAGCTCGCTGGCAATATAGAGACGCAGCAGCATTCCGACAGTGGAATTATTGTCGTCGCAAAGAGAAAAGCGGGCAGCGGCCGCACTTGGCGGCTGGTGTCTCTGAGATGAGTGGCTTGGCCTGCCTAGGCCGAAACTGAGCTGAAGCGACGGCAAAAGCAAAGGCGAGCGGTAGGCGGGCGTCAGTTGGACAGCAGTAGCAACAACGGCACGAAACCGTGCACCTACGACCGATCTGCCCCCCACCCCGCCGTAGCCGAGTGATCCTCCAGGACCCGCGTAGAAAGACAGGACAGAGGGCCAACATCCGACGGCCTTTGGTAGCAGAAGCCTCGAGTCGTCTGGCAAACCAACCCCTCTTGGATAGTTTCGCCGCTGCTACTATTTATTAGTTGCAATGGAATTCGCGGTTTGACGCTATCTCGCTATTGTACGACTACTACCACTATATCCTAACGCTTTTACCATTACCACCTTCACACAGTACACGCAGCGTTACCCCAGGTTTCCTCTTCTTCACCACAAGTTCTCTCTGTCTTTTTTCCACTCTCTTCCTTTATCCAGCCTTCCCATGATTCTGCCGTGCCTGTGTCTTCGCAGGCCGTTCCATCTTTCATGGCCCGTGCAAAGCGATCGGCCACAGACAAAGGAAGCTAGCAACAATAAATAGAAATAGTATTGGAGAGTATAAGTACACAGCAGAGCTGACTGGCTGCTTCAGTCAGCTCGCCCAGGTCTCTACACAAACGTGAAGTTGTTCTGCCTGCCCCACTGATCGAAGGGAAGAAGAAAACGAAAAAAGCAGCAAAAAGAAAACGAAGTCCAAGCCGCGAAGCCGATGAAGTTAAAGGAACACGGGGTGAGGCAAGGAATATAGAGACAGAGCCATGGCTCTTTTGCGAGGAAAGAGGGAGCCGGCATGACTTTT